GCCAACACAGCTCATTCCTGCCCTGTAAGACCTCTGCTATTTTGAACCGTGACTGACTACATCTCCCCCTGCTCCCCCAGGTTTCTCTCCTCCATCCTTCCTGCATCTGCTGTCAGCTGTACAGACCGTGTGGTGCTTCAGCCACGTGGAAAGGTGGCACTTGGCTTGGGCACGAGGTCTCCCCACCTGGGATTGGCAGAGAGAGGAAATCTAGGCTGTCACGTCCAATTACATTTTTCCCTGGGTGACCTTTGTTTCCATAACACAATTTTGATTATTTGACTTTGGAATATTGATTTTCATTTCCTATTTTGATTCCATTTCGTTTCACTCTTTCCTGCAGGGAGTGACTTGGTTCACCTTCAGCATCTGCTTGCTCTGTAGCTTGAGGCAGGAAGGGTCTCTTGTCCGTGGAAAATGACCTGGAAGAAAAGCAAGGTTTCAAAGAGCACTTGTGTAGGGTCTGGGTTTGTTTCTGATGCTCTGGAATGGGCCCTTTCATCCCAATAAATCCCAAGAGGATGAGCTATCAATGTGAACCTCTGTGTGTGGTGAGGTGAAAGGACAGACAGATGTCTGACCACTGAGGAAGTGCTGACAGAAACACCCTGGAGTACCAGACAGCTTGTTAGCTTGTATATATTGTTCTGGTGATTCACATGTTTATGTTTCCACTGTGAAATATAGTTCCCAGAAGAGGGAAAAGATTAAACCAGAGAAAGAACCTTTATAGCCTTTTCTCCTTCCACCTTCACCTTCCTAATAAATAGAAGTGCAATTTATTTATTTTTTTGGTTAACCCCCCTTAGTCCCACTGTCCTGGCAGGGGCAGGTGCTCATGTGGCCAGGTAGTGGCTGAGGATTTGGGCTGAGAGGGGACCAAGGTGTTTTAAGGTCGGGATGTTGCAATAGGACAAAGAGTAATGGTTTCAAACTGAAAGTGGGTCAATTTAGATTACATATAAAGAATGAATTGTTTACAATCAGGGTAATGAAGCTCTGGCACAGGTTGCCCAGAAAAAAAAAAAAGTTGTGGATGCCCTATTCCTGCAAGTGTTCAAGGCCGGGTTGGATGGGGCTCTGAGCAACCTGGTCTAGTGGAAGATCTTCCTGCTGGTTTCAAGGGGGTTGGAACAAGATGACCTTTAAAGATCCCTTCTAACCCAAACCATTCTATGATTCTATCACTCCTTGCCCCACCTCAGACAGAGTGAACCCACCCGCTGCCCAGGGCCGGGATCTCTCTGCTCCTGCTCCCCCTTTTTGGTGCTCAGATGCTCGGTGTGTGCCTTTGGGGAGCATCCTCACGGCTGCTTCCTCGGCATCACCACTGCCGGGATTTTCTCCTCGCACCGGAGGCTTTGCTTGGCTCAGGCTTGCGAAGGGCGTGGGGGGTCAGCGATGGCCCCCCCCAGCCCCATGTGCCGGCATATGCTGCCCTCTAGAGTCGGCACCCAAATTCCGCTTTTTTAAAAGGAAAAGCTGGCAGAAAGCAAGTCCTGTCCATCACGTGTCAGAATAGGAGAACCAGTGAAAACTCCCCCCGGGCTCGGCCCCTCGGGGGAGAACAGCCCCACGGCCACGGGGGATGCACAGGCAGAACCCACGTCTGCCCCATCTGCCCAGACCACCAGCTCTCCAATTCACAACTTGTCTCTCATTCCAGCACCCAGAGCTCCAGGGTCGGTCACACAGCTGGGACCAGCCAGGTACCGTCAGCTGCTGCACCGAAAAAACCTGAACATTGACCCTTCCTGAAGGAGGTGAAAATGGAGGTGAGCCCAAAATCAGCATCTCCCATCTGCCCCTTTTTTGCTCATAGGAACTTTGGTGCATCCCACATCAGTATATATTTTTCCAGGTGACTGACACAGAAGCTCTGCCCCTTTCTGCATTGCTCTTCTGAGCCTCTCCCCCAGAGTGTGTCCCCCGTGATCATGATGTCCTCTTTTCCTTTTCTGAACAATTCCTCTCCTCCCCCATGTACTGGCATCTCACTCCTAAACTTTCCACCCCCGAAGACCTCAGAGGGTTTACAGCCACTAAGAGGAGGTGGGAATCTTGTCCTTTTGCTTCAGTGGTTTCCACTAATTTTTTTTTTTTTCAACTCTTCCCACTAATTCTTTTTTTAACTCTTCCCAGGGGCAAAACTTTCCACCCCACGAGGTGGTGGCAGAGGCACACCGGGTCGCTGTGGTGTGTTTGTCACTTGGGGATCTTCCACACGTCGAATAAGGTCTTTCAGGGAGCTCGTTGTGTCTTAACCCAATTGCCACCACCCTGACCAGTGACGTTATCATATCCAGAAGGCATCCAGAAGGTAGTTGGCTAAATTGTACATAATCCTAGTTATTCTCTGCCTCTGAAACCCACTTGGACAACTGTGCTTGGGGGTGAACGGCCATCATCTCCTGGCGTTTCTGCGGAGATAGACCCAGCACGACCCCAGCTCTGATCCCAAAAACTGGAGGAGAGCAGGAGAGCAGGGCTGGGGTGGAAGCAGCTCGGGATTTGGGAAGGGCGCTAGAGGGCAGGAGAGCTCTTCTCTAACCGCGTCTCAATAGTCTTGTTAGTATTTCTTGCACAATTTCCCTTGTTCAGTGGGTCAGTTGTAAAGTTCAGTGACTCACTGCAGGAAATGACCCTCTGGGGCTGCAGTTTATGTCTGCCCAGCACCGGTGGGCAAGGCTGAGGCAGAATCCATCGGAGGGGTTTGCATGTAGGCACCAGCCACCTGGAGTGTTGCTGGCAGCTTTCCTGCCAGGGAGTTTCTCCCAGCGAAGAAACATTTGGGGAAGGAGGCTCCAGTTGTTGCCCCCACAAACACACCTGGCATTCCTCTGGGATCTCACCTGACAACAAAGCAGGTACCCAACACATTCTTCTCTTCTTCCTGATGTAACATCTGCACCTGAAAAAATGGCTCTCTGTAAGGTTTCTTGTACCTCCTGAAGGTACAAGGATGACAAAACTGCCGTCACCCCCTCTCCTCTATCCCCAGCTTGCAGCAAGAGCCATCCCCACAGGATCTCAAACTGCTCTGTAGGAGCCCAGAAAGCCACATCTCCCTTCACAGCTTTCCTTCTGCTCTCCTGGCCATGGCTCTGTCCATAACAACACATTTTCCCCCAGCTGACTCCACGGGATATTTAGAAGCATCGGGTTTTCCCAGCGTTGTGAGTTACATCTTAATGCAGAAAGCACCAGAGAAACTCCAGCATCCCCCGGAAGGCAACACATCATGGGCACAACAGGGCTTTTTATATCAGAGACTGTGAAAAGACCTTCCAATTTAGTAGCTGTTCTGTTCATATCTCACATTATTGCACACACGCTCCCTCTTCCTTGCCCATGTCTGAAAAACGGAGGGTGTAAGAATAGCAGCTTCTTACTTCATCTGTCTGCTTCCTGTGTGTACTGGCAGTCGGGTCTGCTCTCATTAGCATCACCCTCGGCAGCTCCTCCTTACTATCGCTCACTAATACGGGTGAGTCAGCACAGCTCAGCGTGGCTACAACAGCCACCATTTACATCTGTGTGAGCGAGGGAAGAGCCTGCACCTAAATCTTCTTCTGTTAGATTTATTGAGCAAATGCTCTCAGGAACTCTCCACGAGCCTCTCAACAAAAAAAAAAAAAAAAATTTAATGAGAGAAAAATGCATAGTCTGCCTCTTAGACATTTCCTCCTCTATAGCTTGTGCCCAGCCCGGGGTGTGTGAGATGTTTAAACAGTCTGATGAAGTCACTTTAAAAGTTGTGTATAAAGCTGACAAAAATAGCAACCTCGTGAATGATTTATTTCATAAGGGAAGTAAACAGCCTCTGACAGATCACCAGGCTTCAGGGATTTATTGGGCTGTAGCACAGGGTGCTACCTGCAAGTCATGGTACTGCTGTGAAATTTGTCCCTAATTAAGTTGCAGGAATGAGTTGATTTTTAAATAGGACCATAATTCTTTTATTGTTGCCTAGGGCCATCCCTACTGGCTCTGCTGTTGTTTTCCTCTGGAGTGAGCCTGCTTGTCCCCAGGGAGCTGCCACTGCTCCCTGGGCTCGAACTAAAGCAGCTGTGCTAGTCAGGATGGTAAACACAGAGCTGAGGGTGTCAGGCAGCCAGGAATGGGAATGGGACTGGGAGAACAGTGCTTGTCTGTGGGACTTCTAGGAGCTGTGTGGGGCAACCCCTGGTCACGTTGGCCACAGGTGCCCTGAGTGTGGATTTGGGCTGTAGTTCTTCACAGAGGGAGTTATCAGACATTGGAACGGGCTGCCCAGGAGGGTGGTGGAGTCATCATCCTTGGAGGTATTTAAGAAGAGAGTGGATGTGGCATCAGTGCCATGGCCTAGTAGACAAGGTGGTGTTGGGCCAAAGGTTAGACTCGATGACCTCAGAGGTGTTTTCCAACCTGGTTGGTTCTGTGATTCTGTGTTAGGTCAAAGGTTGGGCTCGAAGGTCTCGGAGGCCTTTCCAGCCCGGCTGATTCAGTCATTCTGTGATGCTCAGGAAGTTCCGCCCGAACACACGGAAAAAAACTTCTTCACCGCGCACACAGGAACAGGTTGCTCGGAGACGATGCGGAGCCTCCTCCCCGCAGGTACCCCAGACCCGCCTGGACACCCCCCCCCCCCCCCCCCCCCCCCCCCCCCCCCCCCCCCCCCCCCCCCCCCCATATCCACATTCCCTGCGCGCGACCCTGGGAATCAGGGTTAAGCTCAGCCATCCCCGGGATTCGGGGATTCGGGGATGCGGCCCCGCCCCTGCAGTTGCGGCGGTGCCCGCGGGGCGGCGGTGCCGGGGCGGTGCCGGGGCCGGGGCCGGGGCGGTGCGTGCGCGGCGGGAGCCCCGGGCCGCCTCTTCCCGTCGCGGCCCCGCCGAGCGGGCCGGGGGGGCGGGCGCTGCTCCACCGCGGCCGCCGCCGGAGCCGCTCCCGCACCGCGCCCGGCACCAGCGGGGGAGCCCCCCGGCAAACACCCCCCGCCCCTGCTCGGCCCGGCCCGGCCCGGCCCCCCCTACGAGCGCCGCCGGGCCCGAGCGCCGAGCGCCGGCTCCGACATGTCCGGCAAGATCGAGAAAGCAGGTGAGGCGGACGGGGAGGCCCCCGCGGGGACGGAGCGGAGCGCGGGGGGACCGGACAGCGGGGAGGGGGCCGCTCTCGCCTCGCCGAGCTGCCGGAGCTGCCGGAGGTGCCGCGGGCCTGGCGCGGCCCGGCGGGGCTGGGGGAGCCGGGCAGGGCCCCCCATCCCCGGCAGGGCTCTCCTCCGGGGGCTCTGTCAGCGCGGGCGGGGAGCGCGGCCCGGAACGCGGCCGGATCCGGGGAGGCGCGGGGGATGCTCAGCCCGTCCCCCCGCGGGGCTGGTCCTGCGCTGCCCGGGTCAGGCTTTGTGTCTTCTCCGCGTTTTCCTTCCCCCCCCTCGTTTTCCCCGTTTTTCCCTATTTTTTTCCCTAATTCTTTTATTTTAATTATTGCCTTTCTGCACCCCTTCCGTCCTCCCCGTGCAGCCGAGCATCAGCGCAGCCGGGCGCTGCAGTGCTTTTGGGGCCTACATGTAATGGTTAATTTCAACTTCTCCCAACTTTCCTCCTTTGGTGTTTGTGCAGGATGAGAAAAGACGAGTCTGTAGGTAAATGTCAGAGGGGACTTGCTCATTTTTTCCCTCTTCCTTGCTAAGCTCTCCCCTCTGCTTGGGGTGCTCATGAGAGCCAGGGGAGGCTGCTGAGATTCCTCCTGCTCTCACAAGGAAACGCTCAAGCGCGGATCATATTGTCTCTCTGTGCTTCTGGAGTCGTGCCTGGTTCTCAGTTGTCACTTTAGATGGTTGAATGCCCATGTTTTTCTCCGTAGTGGGAGTAGTACGTTTAAGAAGATTCAATTAGCGTTGTGCAAATCAAGCAGCGAAGTTACGTAGTTTAATTATGTTGCATTTAATTAGCTGAGAAAAATCAATGCTGTTTTGTTATTTTTATTGTAAGGAATAGCTAGGCAGCTTCCTTCTGGGGAAGGCAGGGCAGCAGCCTGAGTCGGGATGCGGGAGCATTCAGGCTTTCCAGGACAGCAGCCACGGATGTAGGAAAGATTCCTGTTTCCAAGGAGTGGAGTCAGTAGCAGCGTGTTCTGGTTTTGATCGTTCCACCCGGGTTTGCTCTGGCTCCTGCGCTGCACCGTGTGTGAGTGTGTTCTCCAGTGATGTGGGTTCTGGAGCGGCCTCGGGGGATGAGCAGCCTGGCTCCCTGGCAGCCTCCTTCTCCGTGGAGAACACAGGCATGTTTCCAGCTCTTCGCGCTGAGTTACTGTCTAACAAGTGTGCATCGCGTCACGGGACAAATGTTACTCCAGAAATATCTCAGGTTAATCCCATGCACGATCCCTTACATTGTATCACGGCGTAGCGCTTTGCTCTGGCTGTGGATTTTTGCGCTGGGATTCTGGCTGTTCCTTCCCATGCTTTTCCACACTTCCCTGCCTCCACTCATCCCTTACTCCACTGAGTAGGGAAGGTGTTAGCAGAGTACACAGACCTGGGGCCAGCTGTGGAATAATTGCCACTTGTTTATGCTGGAGGTGAATCTGGCTTGGGATTTAGTGACTGTAGACAGTAATTACAGATGTATAAATAAGTGATCACGTTTTGGTTATTCGTGTGCAGTAAATAACCCTGTGAGGATAGTAAATACAACTCCACACCGGCGAGGCAGCGTGGAGAGTTCAAGCACAGGAAGATGACTCTGTAGGCACACACACAAACGCAGAGTGGTTCCATAAACAATAGAACACAAAGGCCAAAAAAATACCGTATAAATATAAATACCCTATAAAATGCCATGTAATACCAATAAAATACTGTATAAAAATCATATGCTGCTCAACTCAGAGACCAGACATGCTGAGCTCCTGCTGAAAAACTCCAGGTTCGTGCAGGATCCATCCCCAGGTTGGTGCTGTGAGTGTACAGCTGGAAAATGCAGGGGGTGAAGCCTCTATGTGGAGGCATTTGTTCTAGTGGGTGTCTGTTGTAGTGATGATTTGCTGAACAAGAGAAACTGTAAATCTGGGAGTCTGTCCTCTTTCAACTGCTTGTACTTTTATTTCTTTAAAAAGGATATTAAAAAAAAAAAAATCCAGTCCAAATATAACCAGGAGGAGAAGAGGCAGGGAGGGAGGGCTGGGAGCCAGCTGTTCCAGTGCAGGAGCGTCTCCATCGCTGTTTCTGAGTGTTTGAACTCCTGATTGACACAAACAGTTTGTTAACAGCGTCACCGAATAAACACAGGCTGGAACACCACAGTAATTCTGGGATACTGTTTGTCAAAACGTGTACAGTAGCAGAACAAAGGATAGGGAGTCGTGGAACAAATGCTGCGAGGTCTAAGGTCTGTGTGTTTATGTACATTTGAAGTTGTTTTTCTTATGGGAGCAGAAATTCATGCATAACGCATTGTGCTGTAAATAAAATGAGCTCCTGCCCGATCACAAGCCATGGTGACAAACTTTGGAATGGGTTTGGCTTTGGTTTGACTCCTGTGTCCATCTAGACAGGCTGCTGGGAAAAATATGTTATCCCTTACAGGGTTAGACCCCCAGAGATCTTGCATCCCTCTGCTCCCTGGGTCTTTAACTGAAACACCTTGTTGGCACTCAATAAAAGACAACAATAAATGATTAGAGGTAGCAGCTACCATCCCGTCCATGAAGAAAGAGCAGACAAGGCTCCCTCTGGAGCCTCTCAGTGCTGCTGTTTAATCAACAGAAGGGTCACTGTGGAGCAATTCAGAGCTCTGCTTTGGAGTGAAGGGCAGCCATCTGGTAACGTAGAATGAGATGGTATATTTTGGTTTAACAAGTGTTAGAGCCCCTGTTTTGTTAGGCTCCAGCCAGGAGACTTCCAAATACTTTTCCAAAGCAGAACCCTCGTTTACTTGAAGAGAAGGAATGGCTGTTAGCTTTTCTGTGCTCTAGAACTGTGACTTTTTGTCTTCACTTTCAGAAAATATTTGCTCTCGCCCTTTTGATGTGAAATCCAAAACAGGGATGCCAAGAAACAACGAAGAAGGTCACAGATTCTGCTTGGGTTTCCTGTTACCATGGCAATGCATGAATTCCTGTGTTTATTTACCTGATGGATTACGTGCTCCAGGGAATTGAACTATTCTGCATCGTTCAGGGGGAATAAGGGAGCAGTTAGACAACATCAGGCCTGAACCTAAAGCTCTTGGTGAAGCAAGTCCATTCAAGAATGCCCTTTATTAAAACCAAAGAACATATGGGTGCCATACTTTGAAGGTTTATTCTACTTGGGGGTTTCAGCCTTAATCTTGTAATTTCTTACAGAGTTTTCATATCCCTTGTGAACTTGCTTTTCCAACAGCTGTCTGCTAAAGGTTGTTTGAAATAACTGGTTTGAGTCTTTGCTACCTGGAGTGCAGGCGGTCATCTCTATTCTGCTCAGGATTCAACTGGATGTATTTATTCCCAGTAGACCAAAAATGCTGTTGGCTTCCCCTTTTACTTATAAGCACTTGCCTGATAAGCAAATTCACCTCAAATTCTCATCCTTTAGTATTGGTGGGATAAACATCTAGGGCTAATCCCAGGAGAACTCTGTTCTTAAGGAAAATGGCAAAAATAGCAGACACAATTCAGGAGGTCAGATGATTCCCATCTTTATAGGAACTTAACGCTTATCCAGAGTCCTCTAGGCCAGTTTGCATGATTTTGAATTGTGCATCTGCAAATGTTTTTGTATTAACGTGAAGTTTCCTGGGGATTTTGTTTTTGTGGAGGGTGTATTTTGAACTGTCATCGTCTCTTGAATCATTTGATGGAAATTAGCCTGCACAGTTTTTACACCTGTACAGTCTTCTGCAGTTTCTCTTTGTCTGTCATGCTTAGGTGAGTTACTAGGCAGAACTCTGTTGTGCATTCGCCACCGTACCCCGTTCCTCGGAGGAAGCGAGTGCTTTCAGGTGAAAAGTTTTGCAGTTAACCAGTTTAAGTGCTGCTCTACTGGTGGCTTTCAAACAAAGTTGAAAAGTATTAAACTTCTTGTTGTAACCTGAGAATTAAACCCCTCTAAAGACTCACTTCACAACCCTAAAGACAATTCAGTTCCAGTTATTCCTTACTCAGGCTTTTAGCACCTACTGTTTCCCACTATATGTTGCTCCCAAAGTGACATCCCGTGTGTGTTTTATTGTAACTTGTTCTAACAACATCACCAATTCAGTCTGGTTTCGTGAAGAGCCAAAATACAGGTGCAAGAAGATCACTGCTTAGTGTGTGTTTCTACAAAATGGCACAAGGAGAATTTGGCATCTTTTGTAAGCCATCACAGGCCTGACAGGTGTTGCGTTGCTTCGGGACTCGTGTGTTCCGAAATGCAGCCTGCGGGATAACTGCTGCGGGATTGGGATGGTCAGAGCACTTGTAAGAGGGAAGTGGGCAAGGACTGGGGAGAAAAAAAAGACAGCTGAAGGCTACTGGAATGTGAAGCAGCTGGGATGTGCCTTAGTCAGTGAAAAAGCAGAAACTGGGAACAATTGCAAAATTTATTTTCAGTGCAAGCAGTCGTTTTCCTTGAACCGCAGTGACTAAATATATCTCTTGGTGTGATTTTTATGTGGTGGTAACTCTTACTGGCTCTTGCTAACCTCCTGGTGAGCAGAGGGGAGTGGAAGTTCACTGTCAGTCAAGACTGTAACACAAATATCCTTCATTTAGATCTGTTGATTCACTTGCAGCAAACATTTCCTATTTGTAAGGGATCAAACGTTGCTTTGCTTGCTGCAGTGTATTGCCCGAGTGGAAGAAACCAGGGGGTTTGTTTCTAGGGAAAGGAGTCAATCTGTAACTCCTTTTTCAGGTTTCCTTGGGGTTTTGTTCATGTTTATGGGAGTTTTTAATTGCAGTTGATACTTCAGCTGATTCTAGTAACTCTACTGTGGGAGCAGATAGACTCTGATACTGTATATAAAATGATGATGTATATTAAAAATATACATTAAGACCTTATTTCTTCCAAAGTCAAAAACCTGGGGGTAGAATTGGCAAAATGAGCTTTGCTGGTGACTTTCAAATCCTTT